GTGAAGGCTGGGACTGAGATTAGGGAAGAAAATCCCGAATGAATGTCCTTAAAGTTGTTACAGTCTGTCACTGATCAACACAGTGCATGGCAGTGGGCTGAACAGGATAGCAACAAACTGATTAGGTACAGGTCACAGAAGATACTTGTTCCCATATCCTGCTTTCATTCCTGTTGTACAGCACTGAATTTCTCGTCACGGTTGTCAGTTTTTGAGGTGGCTGCTAAACCTCCAACACTTTTTGCTGCACACTTGGTACACTATACATGTTTGTCATCTTGGGATTTGTGCTTCTTATGTCTCTGATCTGTTCTTTCATGCAACACAACATAAAGAATCTTCTGGCATTGGTGTATCAGTCATGGACAAGGGGAGGGAGTTAACCAGATTTCCCAACATATTCTACTGAGAAAACTCGTATTTTAATTTAGTAGAATGTTAGGTCCATTACAATTCAGGGGATGCTTGAAATAGAACTTCCTGCCATTGGAGCTCTGGGGTGTAGGATAGATTTATATTAAAAGATTTGTATTACAATAGCAATGAGAGAAGGCGGCATGGTATAACCCACTCTCGTCAGATCTCAGAAGCTAAGCTTGGTCAATAGTTGGATAAGAGACCACTTAGGAAGACTCTGCAGGGGAAAGTGATGGCAAACCACCTCAGCTTCTCACCGGCCTTGAAAGCAAAGCCTGTGTTGCCATAGGTAGGTTGTGACTTGAAGCATTATGTACTTGGCTATTATGATAGCTTGGATTCTATGGCCATGTTCTGTACTCACTTTGCTCCAGCCACAGCACAGACCTCTTCTTCTGCCACTAGTATTTCCATTTCTGCAAGACCCATGGTTTTCATGAGCCTTTTGCAAACAGAAGTGCTAGCAGCAGAGAAAGTGAGCTTCACTGTGGCTGGAATGAAGTGCATGTGGATTGCGGTCATAAGACCCAAGCCTTAATATTTGGATAGTCTCATTTGGTCTGTGAAACACCCTATTGTGTTTTAACTGTGTACTAGGGGCATCTCTTTTTTTCCTTGAGGGCGCTCAAGCTCTAAAAAGTTCACGGATGGGCCACATAGCTGGCCAAGAGAAAAAGGTCTGCAAATATATGGGGGGGGGAGATACACAAGGTTATCAATCAGGGGCTTGCATGCTGAAAAAACTGGCATCTACCTGTGAAGATGGAGGACTGACAAATAAAAGGGAAGGAGGAGATAAGGGAGCGGTGGCGCACGCAGTTAAACGCCTGCTCTGTAACATCATCCGAGCAGCCACTATGGCTGTTCGAGTACCACCGCGGTCGAGGTGAGCTCTCGACCTTCGTCCCAGCTCCCGCCTACCCAGTGATTTCGAAAGCAACCTAATTGCAAGTAGATAAATGGGTACCTACCCTTAGAGGGGTGGGGGGAACCCTGTGTGGCTGGTTGAAAGACGGCGGCGACGATTACGGCGGCGGCGGTGATTACGGCGGCGGCGGCGATTACGGCGGCGGCGAGCATCGACTCGGTGTGGACAGCGTGGTGGTGTGGCGTTGTGGCGGCGGGTGGGCGCGATCGGAGGAGCGCCATCGAGCGATCCCTGGTGGCCAAGAGAGAATACACCGAATGCTGTCGTTAAGAGAAGGGGCGTGCGTGGATGCCAAGCACCGGCTCAGTGGAGCCGGAAGGGACGTTGCTGGGCCGGAAGCAGGCGGAGCCGCGCACCTCAGGAGAAAGATAGCCACCACCGAACGCCGGGAAAAAGAACACCCCGCCAGTCCAGAGACCCGACCCGAGCCGATGAAGAAACAACAACAACAACCACTATAGGGGGGGTCCCGGTAGGTTGTCCCATCCCCGTATACACTGTGGCCCTAGTTAGGGGAAAATGGTGATTAGCACCGAAAACCTGTAAGCCGCTCAGAGATCCCTAGCCAAGGGATTCGAGCGGGATATAAAGTCGAATGATAAATAAAAAATAAATTGTACTTGACTTCATACACTGCATATGTTGTCTGTAGACTTTTCCTTTTTGATGCGAGTAAGAGACTAAAATAGGACTGCTTTAGAACTGTCAGTATAAAAATCACTGGTTTTGCCTTCAGCGCACACATTTAGGGATGTGATTGCAACAGATGAAATGGCATGATGTCTGTACCTGAAAGATATTTTGTGAGCAGGATCCTTGTGGGGTACAAGGGCAGCAGTGAGAGAGTTCATACTCAAGAGTTTTACTCTCAAAACTAACGAATTCCAGTTCCCAATTTTAAACAATTGTTGCTGTACAGGACAGGTGTTGCACCTTCTTGGGGTTGTGCTGGTGTCTAGCCTGCCTTTCCGTTTCTCAAGGTATGACCTGAGCCCAGCTCAGCTAAGTTGCGCCCCTGGTCTGGGGGAGGAGTAAGGGAGCTGCTGAGCCAAACAAATTAGTTTGGCATATCAGCATTCAGCATGCATGCCAGAGGTTGCCTGCCTCTGCTGTAGATGTTTAGAGGCAGTGTGGGAGAGATGAGAATCTATGATGAGTGAGCAAGTATTGTTCTGTGTACCCTATGCCAACCCGTTGTGGGTTTCTAAGGCACTTCAAGACATTGCTAAGAGTATCAGGAAAAGAAGTCAGAGGATGTGCTGCACTAAGGAGCTGTTTTCTGTTGTGATGGATTAGAGCTCCTGTCACTGGTTTGGCATGACATTAGCTTTTCCTGCATACCTGCTCCAGTAATTTGTCTTGGCTCACCGCACAATAGTCACTTCCTTTCCAAATGCCTGAGCAAAGAGTGGCCAGTGCTCTGATTCAGAGCAATGCTCATTCATCTGAAGCACCCAACATGTTGAGTAGTAAATGCCCATTATTCCAGTGCCCCTTGACCAGTTAGAATGTTAAAACTTTCTTCTATCTAAAAATACAACTTTCAAGAGACTTGGCTACCAGGTCTTTTAATGGGCCACAGCTCTCGCTCTGTGATGCAATCATTGCTACGTATTTTTCTAATCCCTTCTGTAGGTCAGGGGAGATCAATGGGTCCTCACAAATGTGGGCACACCTCTCATCTCCTTCCTCACCATAGCTGAAGTTGAGGCTCACAGAAGGCTATTTTTGCTAGTTCCCACCTTCTGCTGCAGACTCCCAGTTGTGGTAGGGCGGGGAGGCGCCTATCTTCCCGCCACACGCCTGGCCCCACCTTCCCTAAGCCGGCGACTGGCTGGCCTCCTCCTTCCCCACCCGGCCCCGCAAATGGTGGGCCTCGCCTACCGGGGCCCTTTCTGCTTTGCCCTACACTGTCCTTTGGATCCCTTAATTTTGGGAGAAAGGAGGCTGTGGTGAGGGGATAGGCAAGGAAATTGCCTTCCTCTAGTGTAACTCCACTTGCGTTGCTTAGGACCCAAGTCAATGTCTGCCACATGTCTTTCAGGAGGGGAGATGGAATACATAAAGATTATACAGTGACTAGCCTGCTCCCCATGCTTCGTGACGGTATTTAAGTTCAGTAAATCCAGTTATAATACTAATGATGTGAAATTTGAAATGTGACATTTGTTGTAGGAATTCTAACAGAGAAGATTATGGTGTAAGAAATGAAGTGAGACATATGTACTTTCTTTTTCTCTACTGAAGGACCTCTCTGTAGACCACATTGGTGGTTCTGTCGTCGGGTGCCAGGATCACCAGGCTGCTTGGTGAGCTCACTCTGGAGCAGGCCACATAGAGCTGTCCATTTAAGAAGCAGTCATCTGTTAAGTCATCTCCTGCCACCTTCCACAAAAGTGATGGCCTCTCTACTTGTGTTCCTGGATTGTTTTGCTCATATGGCGACTGTGTTGTTCTGAGCACCTCAGAGTGATCTTGCTGGTACTTGGCCTGTGCAGCTCAGTGGACTGCAGGAGTACTATGTGCAAATGTCTTTGCTGCATTCCTAAATTGCCTCCTCCTTGTAGCGTTGGTGTATCTGGCTCGACGCTTGCCAGGAGCTTTCTTGGGGGCAGTGTGAGGGAGAGGTGATGTGGTGGACATTTCTTCAGGTTCATGAGGAAGGCACGCATCGAAATGGCTCTTAGAAATGTCCTTTACTATCTCCCCATAAACATTCATACCCTGGCCCTGCTCGTACACCTGACAAACACTGGCCTGTCTGGTGTTGGGTGGGATTGTATTTAAAGGCATCGGGGAGGCTGGGCCAGCAGCAGTGCTAAGGCACTCCTGCTGAGCAAACCTCCCCGGTGGCTGTAAGCATCCCACCTCCCCTCCTACACCTGACAGGCAGCTGCCTGTCCAGTGTAGGACGGGGAGGGGGGAGGAGTATTAGAAGCCACTGTGGAGGCAGGGCTGGCAGGATCACTAAGGCATTACTGCTGGGGCAGGCTCCCTAGTGGCTTTAAGCACCCTGCAACTGCTGCTGCACCTGACAGAAAACCGCCTGTTTGGTGTAGGAGGTGAGGAGTGTGTTGGAAGCCATCCCACCTCCTCTCCTACACCTGACAGGCAGCTCCCTGTCCAGTGTAGGAGGGGGAGGCGGGAGGAGTATTAGAAACCACTGTGGAGGTGGGGCTGCATTTGACAGACAACCGCCTGTTAGGTGTAGGAGGTGGGGGGAGTGTGTTGGAAGCCATCAGAAAGGCTGGGCCAGCAGCTTTGCTTCACCTCACAGGTGGTTCTTGGGCACTCCTGATTTCCTCAGCTGTCATTAGCTCTGTGCAGTCCCCTGTAACTGTTGGGTTTTTTTTTACCTCAGAACACTGAGCTCTGCAGCTGACCAATCAGAGAGTGGGGTGTGCAGAGAGGCAGCTGCCTGGCAGCCTCATAGGAATCAATGGGGGGAGCACATTTTCCCCCTTTTGACCCACTTAGGGGGTCAAATTTCTAAAAACCTCTTCTTAGTGAGCACCTATGCCATGGTAGGAGTGCTCTCCCTGAATTTGGTGTCTCTAGGTCCAGCGGTTTGGCCTGGGCGTTGATTTTATGGTGAGGGGACTTTCTTTTATATATATAGATGGATCTCCAATCTTTTTAATGTTTTGTTTTCCAGGTCTCCTGACAGCAATTGTGCACCTGCCTGTGAGAGTAATTTCTCCACTCCCTGCGTAATGAAGCTGCAGTTCAGAGGTCATCTCATCATGAAGGGAAAAGAGCAATCTAGTTCTTCAGCGTGGGCTCATTCCCATGAATTGTGGTCCTTCCCACCCAAGTTTCCTCTTGTGTCTGCACATGTGCCACACAGGTTACTGGATCAACATACTGGGGTTTTGTGTGTGATTTTTCCTTCTTATTCCCCTGCCCCCCAAATTATTTATGGCTTATTTTGTGGATTTTTAATCTGAGATGCCGTTTTCTGTAGACCTTTTTCTCTCATGACAACGGAGGAATTTGCCACAATACCCAAGATTTCAAGAGGCCTCTTAAACTTGGGGGCACGTCTGCCTCCTTGAGACATATGGTTATGACAGACTCTGACTGAGGCAGTTGCTAAGAATCTGGGATGTTCTCCAGTTGCTGTGAAGAAAATGTTCTTTTCTTCTTGTGCCTCTTCCTTTCACTCATTTCCACCAAGCCAAGGGAGGTGAGAAGATGCTGAAGGAACATGTCAGCTTTGCCTCTCTGGTCCATCATCTGCTTTGCATATAGACGGAAAGAGTTTGCCAGTGGCTGAGAACGGCAAAAGATCATCATGAAGCTGCTGTTAGAGCAAAATGAAGAACCTGGACCAAAAAAAAAATCCATTGGATGAGTTCCTTCTCCACTTCTGTTCACAGTTTTTTACCTGCCCCAATTTTCTCCTAGCACTTACCCAAAATAATGGTCAGAATTTTAAGCAGAATTTATATGCTTGGTTGCCTGCCATGTATTCTGATTGCAGAAGATATCCTTCAGATTGGAGCTTTCATGACAAACATGTACAGTCATTTCTTTATTGGAGCTTTCATGACAAACATGTACAGTCATTTCTTTATCATTTGATTTGTGCAAGCATTCACCACTTTTTCTTGCTTCTGCCAGTGTTCCTGCTCAGAATGTTACATGTTAATATGAGGGAGTAGAGGGATTTGTTTCTTGTTGTAGAGGATCATGAAGGATATTTCCTCAGCTCCGTGGTGAGGGGTAGAACAGACCATTGTTCGTACAATTGGATGAAACCTGGAGAGGAGGGTCTGGCTTTAGAAAGCAGAAACACCCCTCTGAATTACCCATTTGGTCTGCCTTGGAAATGTAGGAAGTGGTTACTTTGGTAGGACATAGAATACAGCAAAGCTTTTCAGATAGATTCATTAAGTGGAACGGTTACCCCCAAAGGTATGTTCTGTAGAAATTAAAACTGCATCCCAGTAGCAGTTGCTTCTCATGGCTGTTTTAGTACTGTGGTGTTCAACCAGCAGTGAAATGAAAAGTATCACAAACAAGAAGTACAGATTAAAACAGGGATTTGGTGCTATTTGCTGTTGTGAGTGGTGCCATCACCAAGTCAATCCTGCTAGACCCCAGCATGCCATTTAGACTAATCTCAAACAACATGAGATTGGTATAGTCCGTGATCTGCAGGGCTCAGAAGCAGAGGAGATAGCAGTGATTTTTTCCAAAATCTATCCATCCATCATGGTTTTATCCCAACCTTTCTCTGAGGAATTCAGAGCAGCATACATGGTTCTTCTGTCCCTGTTTTATCCTTGCAACAATCCTGTGAGGTAGATTAGGCTGAGAGTGTGTGACTGGCCCAAAGGCAGCCAGTGTGCTTTATGGTAATGTGGGTGTTTACATCCTGGTCTCCCAGAGCTTAGTCTGATACTCTAGCCAGAACACCATACTGGTTCATCTTTGTAGCACTCAACACAGCAAGTGCTTGTAACAGATCACAGGGTGTTCCGTTATCACTACAACTACAGCCTTTGCCTCTCCTAATTTCTAGGAATAACTCCATACTTTAGGCATGCGTGAGAAACCATGTGCTCTTTTAATCTAATTTTATTTTTAATTTACACTCATCATCACAACTATCTTGGACTGTCAGTCAAATCTCACAACAAATATAGCTGAGAATCTCCTGTTTGCAATGCTGAAATTCTCAAACTTTTACAATGAACTTCACTGATAGGTTTTTGCTTTTGCTCACAGTCTGCTCCGTCTGAGTTCAACTCTTCCCCTGACCTAGAAATGAAATGCTTTTTCATTGTCTCCGTGACCCACTTCTGATGACAAAACATTAAGATGCCAAGACTGGCTGGTTAGTACTGATCACTGATTTGATAATTCCACCTCTAGTAAGTTCAGAGCCCTCTCCTGTAAATATCCCCAGGTCCTCTTCTATCCCATCACCCTTTTTTTCTCATTGTGAGTTGGACTCTTTGTTTTAAGGGCCTTTTCCACTGTAATAAATTTCCAAGATTTGTGATGTCAAAAAAAGTAAGGAAATAAAATTCTAACTTTTATTAGTCAAAGAAGAACCCACTTCTTCCTTTGTCTATAGCAATAGCACTATTCCTTTTGCATACATGCACAGCAGCAAGCACTATTCATAGCACCCCTGCAGTGGGAAATGTGTGGGTGCCATTGTGCACATTCAGCATTCCAAGTCAGAGCCTTGGATCCAATCGCGCATTTCCATGGATGGAACTCTTTCTGCCAACAGAGTGCAACTTTCTCATCTTCCCCTTCCTGCAGCAGCCCCAGTGTTGTTCCTGGGAGACAGGATGCCAGGGACAGAATTTGGGGGGGGGGGCCCTTTCAGGCCGCAGCAGGAAGGGGGAGGTGAGAAAGTTGTGCTCTGTGGGCAGAAATAGTTCCATCTGTAGAAATGCTCAACTGGATCCAAGCCTCAGCCTGCAGCTCTAGAAGGAGGAAGCTGCCAAATGTAGGAAACAGGCAAAGGTTTGTCCGGAGATGCAGACAAGAAAGATAGGGAGCTGGTCTTATTGCTAAGGAGGAATTGAGTCTAATGAGGAATTGTGTAGGAACAGCTGTAGATGGATATGAGACACGGAATGGCACCCCCCTCCATTGGTGCTAAGCATCAGATACCCCGCTTCCATGTCTTTGTGAACTCACTGGCATGAGGAGGCTGATGTTGTCAGCAGGATGGTGGAAATGTACTTGGAGGAGAAATACTGTGAGAAGGGAAGGGGGGTTGTCAATAATCAGGAAAAAGGGGGAGGCTTGCATTTGATGTATGCATTTATTTTATTCGTTTATACCCCCTTCTCCCCCCAATGAGGACCCAAAGCAGCTTGCGTTGTTCTCATCTCTATTTTATCTTCAGAACAACCCCATGAGGTGGTTTGGCTGAGGATTTCTGACAGGCCCAAAGCCACGCAGTGAGCTTCCATGGCAGACTGGGGAGTTGAGCCTGGGTCTTGGAGATCCTAGTCCAGCACTCTAACTGCTGTACAGCACCGGCTGTTGTACTGCTGCTATGGTTTCTCTAGAACTTCAGTAGTCCTGACAGTGGAGAAAAAGGATCCTTTCCTCTACCTCTGACTATTTTAGAAAAGCACACTTTGAAAGTAGGTGGGCTTCAAAGCTGGGCTCCTCTCTTGTCTCCGTTAACTATAAGTAAGATGGGATGGATCCTCTTTTTGTCAAGAAAAGCAGAATTTTTCAGTTAGAGGAATCCTATTTTCCTGATGAAATTGTTTGGAGATAGTGAGTCCCAAAACAGCCACCGGACAAGAATTAATGGATTTCCAACTACTAACATTGGCATGTAAGACAATCCATGCTTGCTTGGAGGGGACCCGTAAACAAGGAGTGTTCTGTTTCTCCCATATTGGGATTTGTTACGTATGTTTTCTTAAATGTATTTCTGTATTTTAGTCCCCATAGGCTGTTGCACTATTTAATGTTTCCCTTCCTGCCTCTTTTCTCTACGGACCATGTTTGTAGTCTCTGTCCAGATGCACTTCCTTCCTCCTTGACAAGGATTCTGAGGGCCAGATTGAAGTACGTAATATAAGTAATGCCAAAATGTGTGATCCCCCCCCCCCCGGAAAAAAAGTCCAAGGAAGAGTTTAAGCCTTAATAAAAGTGAAAGATACGAAGCAAGACAAAGACAAATGACTGGGAAGAGTGGTGGTGGAAAAGTTTATTCAAACTTTCATAGTGCTGAGGGACATCAGGAAAAAGATCACTGCCTCTTTTATAAGGCATTAAATGCAGCCTGAAGCATCCCAAGAATGGGCCACTAATTAGCAATGGGTCAAGGGGTCTGATGCAGATAATATGGACATTTAGTGGAACAGATAGAATGACTCTTGGTTGGTGAAGGAAAAAAAAACATAAACCTGGTACTCCTAGCATATATTCACATGCATTAGAAGATGTTATAGAGAAAGACTGTCACATTCTCTTGTCTCTATAGAGACAAAACATTCTGATAGGTATTCAACTTTTGTCTGGGGATCAAGACTCCCAAGAGCTTGGTGTCAAGGGCTGGTTGCATGGTTAGACAGTGGTTAGGAAAGGTCTCTACAGACATGCTCTATTGGCCATTGTGGTGTTCATGGGTGAGGTTGCCTCCAAATCAGCCTCTGATACTTCAAAGGTTGGCCATCCTTGGCCTATATGGCTCACTCAAAGCTAGCTAGCTGCTGCTGCAATAGCCTACATTCTACTGGCTTCACTTTGAATTTCCAAATCTAAAGTAAATTTTAAAAACCAGTCGAAGAAAAGGTGAGTGCTCATTGGCTTTATACAGGAAATAAAAACTGCTGGAAAAGGAAGAATTAGCAAAGCCAGGTTGGATCCCTGTGCCTTATTTCCAGTGCCTCCAAATCCTCTCTCTGTCTACAGCACAAAATTCAGTTCTTGCTGCTGCCTCAGTGTGGATGAAAGGTATGGTAGAGGCAGCTCTCTTTAGAAAAATGACTTGCACGTATACCAGCAAACATTAGCATCCAGCAGATTGGAAAAAAGCAGCTCAGTGGCAAGGTTAGAGCAGTCTGCATCTGCCAGGCAATGCAATGGAAAAACACAACAACATATTTTTCTTGATCTGGGCAAACTTCCAAATAAGCACAATATGTATGCAGCAGCCAGCCAGCAATAGTTAAAATACCTGCCCATTTTGTTCTCCCACCTTTGTGCAATCAGAGTGCAAAGAGAGACCAAGTCTCCAAGGCACTAATTCATGTCTCAGCCTAATTACCATTGATTGGATTTCTACATACAACAATCTCCCTCATTATCACAGCACCATTTGAAGATGTTCTACGTGAGGGCCTCTTAAAGAATCCATTTTAAAAAGAGAAAAAGGCTGCTTGCTGTCTGCGTACATGGGATCCTAGCCAAAGGCCCATCACTTATCTATAAAGAATAGTGTGGCAAGAATAGTAGCATACAAACATTCCTGAGCTTCACGAAAGGCATCTAGCAGTCCCTGTGACCATTCAGGTTCTGATCCAAAGTCCATGGTTGCCTTTCCACCAACTTCAGCTGACTTGGTTTTTTTAGTTCCAATTGGCCCTTGTGGCTTCAAGGTGTACTACAAGTGGGTGGGGAAAACTTCCAGTGACCTTCCACCAACCAATTATTCACAGGTCTCAGCACTGCGTTCTGAAAGGTATTTGTGGAACAATAATGGCCCAGTAACATTTGCCTCCCTTTACTTTTAAGAAAATATCATACACTTTAATTAGCAGCATATATTGGTGATAATGACAAGTGGGACCCCCAATTTGCAAGCCTGAGTTATCAAAACTTAACTGGAAAGACATGGATATGAACTTACTTCAGCATAACTAAACGTGCATAGAATCAGGTTGTCCAGACAATGCAGTCCCAAGCCCTGTCTGAGTTGGACCCGGCATGCCTGGGAATTTCACTTGAGCTCCCGGATCCCATCTGCTTGACAGCTTGGATGGGAACTATGTCCCATGCAGTTAGGCCCTCCGTTTCTCTTCTCCCACTGGAGGCTGCTCTGCCCCACTCTGGTTTATCAGCAACAGAATCAGCAAGTGAGGCACCAGAACACCAAGGATTTCTGAACTTTTTCAAATGCTTCTGAAATGTTGGAGG